CATTTTATCTATAGATAGACCTAGGTCTATCTAAAGATAGCTCTGTAGATAGGTTCAATATATTCAGCTCACAAATTGGTTCAGTTTTATCTCATGGACCTATGTTTCATAATTCTGTTACCAACACACCAAGATCAACTGCTCGCAACCTACTAGACCACGTGGTAAAGCCAGTTAATTAAAAATTATATTAGTCTAAAACTATTCTAATGCCAGACACCAGCAAGTTAAGAAAAAGTTATCTAAGTTCCATCAAACAGATATCAAAAGGGGAAAAAACGGGATTCTACTGAGATCAAAGAGTCACCAAAATATATATTAAAAATACATTAGGAGAGAGGAGGTTACACATGTGACTCCAGCCCAATCACATGGTTGATCCTGCATGGTGCTCTGTCTCTTCTTCCCATTATCTTTTGTAGGAGTTAAGTGTTTTCATTGCAAGATTGTGCAAGTTTGGGCTTTTTCAGAAAGGATGGGTTAAAACAACAAATAAATAGCATGAACTCTGTGTGTGTTTCCTTTAGTCTCTGTACAGCACAGGCAGAAAAATTCCTATTTCCAAAGGCACTTTTCTGTAGGAGATCATTGTGGCGTTGACAGAAGTCTGTTATGTAACATGTTAAATGGACAACTATTAATAACACTTGTACTTTCTCCCTGTCCCCCAGGATGTGGTTTCTCCAGGTCAGGGCAATGCCACTGAAGGTGGACTGGAGCAGCTTGCACTTCATCTACCTATGCAGCTTCATGGGTAGCCCATTTCAGTGCAGATCTGTTGTTCCAGTTTCTTGTCTGAGCTCTAAAAACACACTAAAGTAAAAACTATTATGTAACTGCAGATAAGAATAATCAAATCTCCATGCTCCAAGGTGTAGGCTAACAGCCTGAGGGATTAGGAAGGAATGTCTAGTCCCCTTGTCCAAGATGCAACAATGATTAATTATATAATGCAACTTTATCTGACAACTTGGGAGAAATAAAACCTTAGTTTCAGTTCATACTCGAAGGGGTTGGTTTCAAACTCAACGCTGTTATGCGAGATGGAACAGGGGCAAGACTCCTAACTACTTCAGGTAAAAGCGCTATTGAATATCTAATAACTGAAATTTGATTGGTGAATTTTCTTCACACTTGCTTTGTGACTTTATTCTTCTGTGTGCACGTGAAAAATCATGGGCCAGTAATACCAGATAAACTAATAGCTTTCTAATCTTAAATATTTCACTATGCAAGCTAATAACTGGGAAAGTATGTAATAGCATCATCTCCTTTACTGATGGTTTTTATTGCCAGTAACGTTGCAATATTGTCAAACACAAGGTTGGTTTTATGGTGAACTCTGGAATCTGCTGTCTCATTGAAGTTCTGAAGCCCGGCTTTATTGTTTCAGGGTCTGTCAAATTTATACGTGTTGCTGAGACCCATTCAGGTTCTCTGTAGGTCTGTTGGCAAGATGTTGTCTAGAACAGTGGTTCTCAACCTTTTTTTTTATACCAGGACCCATTTGTAAACATTGGCCAGTTCTGACCCAGTGCCCCTTACTCCTGACCCGCTGCCCCTTGCCCCCAGCCCCCCAGTGTTCAAGCTGGACCTCTGCCAGCCTGCAAGGGGAAAGCCACAGTTTCCCACCTTTTTTTACCTTTAAAAGAGGCCCCATTTTTCAAGTTTGTTCTCAACCCTTTTATATATGCTCACGACCCACTTTTGGGTCGTGACCCATGGGTTGCCAAAATGCTGGTCTGGAACACCAAGCTCTTCACATTGATGGAGTTAGCGATGTGTTTTCCTTTGCTGTGCAGTTCTTGCTGTGCCTGGGACTACTTATTTAGAATTTGCATTTTTATAATCATCAACTGCTAATGCACCGAGTTGAAGTAATTCTCATGTAATGTGTGTATTAAATCACTAGTAAAAATCTGACCTTAGTGGAAATGCTTCTTGCAAATTGTTTACTGTATTCTGTCTATTGTGTTTCTAAGATCATAATCTTAACTACTATTAAGCTGTGTGTATCTTTAACATTTAATATAGGCAATAGCTTTCAGCAATAAAAAAGTTATTCGTTTTATGGTAACTGCAAAAACCTGTGGTACCTGCATTCTAAATAGAGACAAATATTTTAACTCTGCACTTTGGACAATAATAGTTTAACTGTGTCACATGCTTATTTGAGATAAAAGTTTAGATTTCAGTCAACAATCAGTTGAGGGCCTCTACTTTTCTGATGGCATAGTTCCAAATTTAGGGTTTATGCACAGTGGAAAAACCTGCTGAACCCATCTTGGTTGTTGTCTTTTTAATAAATGCATTTCAGTCCTATTTTTAAACAAAAATGATGTGTTTGTTGTCTTGAAGGTGATCTGCTTTAAATGTTTATTTTTAACTTCTGTTGTAACTTATGCCATTGCTGCTCTTTTATGTCCTTAATTACAAAAGCTTAGTTGCTTTAATTCACACTCATGCAACTCTTGACCTATGGCCTTCTGTGTGGGTCTCTCTTCTTCCCCTTGCCAAAGTGTCAGTGCGTGTGCTCCCTTTCCTGTTTTTGAGAGCACAGCTTCCATATCCTTATGCATGTTTTTTCTCTTCCTGATCTTTGTTATTAGTGTATAGTTAGCAGCCAGGTTTCTGTAATGTTGTGCAAAATACTACTATCCTGAAAAGACCCTCCCCCATCTCAGAAATGCGCAAGCAACTCTTTTGACAATTACTATAATAATGAATCAGTAAGTATGTAAGGAAGACTAATTCCACTACTATTATTCCCAAATCCCTCCCCTTTCCGCATATTTTCTCTGTTGTAATTATGTGGTGTGCAAACTTTTGGTGTTACTTTATTAAAGCATAGTCTGCTTTAATACTTCCAGTTAGTCCTTTTTTGCTTAATTTTATTGCTTAATTTTATTACCTTTATCAGTATCTACTATATAAAATGGGCACAAGAGGATCTATGAATTATAAACTAGTTAGCTTAATTTTGATAGTAGAATAAACTGTAAGGTAATAAGCAGTGGTATTGGTTGGACATGACTTGTTCCTTACAAAATCTGGCCTACTGGATAAAAGAGAAATGGTAGAGGTGATGCATCCTGTCCTTTGACACAGTCCTGTATAATACTCTTATAAACAAATTAGGGCAGTAGGCTTTGGATGAAATTACAGTAAGATGGGTACACAGCTGTTTGAAATACTGTATTCAATGTGTAGTTATCAATGGTTCACTGTCTAAACCAGCTGCAACAGGAGTCTCCCATGTATCTGGTTTTATTTAATGGTTTAGATAGTGGCATGCTTAAACTTTGTGGGTGACACCAAGCAGGGCTGGAGTTGTAAGCACTTTGGAGGACCGATTCCCAATTCAAAATGGTCTTGACAAATGGGAGAGATGAAATTCAGTGAAGATAAACAAAGCGCTATCCTTAAGAAGGAGAAATCAAATGTACAAATACAAAATGGGGGAATAACTGTGTGGAAAAAGTGGCAGAAGAGGATTCGGGTATTAAAGTCAACCACTTGCTGACTGAGTCAATGCTGTGATGGTGTTGCAAAAAAGGTAACTCTTATTTTGAGAGAGATCTTTATTTATGACACTCCTGCCAATACACAAGGTAATTGTTCTGCTCTGGTCTTCACTGGGAATGTTGCATCCAGCTGGGTACCATTTTAATGATAGGCAAAGGAGGAAGAATCCAGGAGCAAGCCACAAGAATTAAGAGTCTTGGGAAAATGCAACCTGTACAAAGCTGAACAACTAGATTTGGTTAGAAAGAAGACTGAGGGAGGAAGACATACTTTTTCCAGTATGTAGAAGGATGTAAAAAAGATGATCACTGGTCCTCCAGGGCCATGTGAGTGAGACAAGAAAATTTTGCCACGAAGAAGATTTAAGGCCAATATTAAAATAAAGTTTTTTCTTTTATAGTTAAGTACTAAAACAATTTTCCCAGAGAGATTGTGGAATTGCCTTCATTGTCCTAATTAGTTCTTAAAACTTCCAAACATCTGGCCTAGGTATACTTTGATTCTAGCTCAGAATCATTACAGGTAAGACTATAGTGATGATGTAACCCTAGATGACTTCTGAGATCCCTGCCAGCCCCATACTTCTCTGATTTTTGTGTTGGTTCCTATAGACATTGGTTAAAAGATGCAATTGATGACTACCCACTTCCTTCACTTGTTTATGTTGCTTCATTCACTGGTAAAGTAATATAACCCCTACTTTTATTTGCAATCCACAGCTGGTCCTGTTCAGAGTTTGACTTGAATGAAATCCGCCTGATAGTTTACCAGGATTGTGAGAGAAGAGGCAGGCAGGTCTTATTCGATTCCAAAGCGGTCCGCAAAGTTGGTGAAGTGGCAGCTCAGGTATGACATACTCATTTTTGCTTCTGCCCTGTGATTCTTGTTTTGTGGCTCAATGTGGAAATCCTCTTTAAAATGTCAATTTCAAAATAAAATCTAGACATTAAGAACGCTTGCAGATGTTTTAAAAAAAAAATACACACTTTACTGAAAAAAGGAGCGCATTATTCCAACCTGGCTCCACAGCGTGTGTATAGACCAGGCGCTTCAGTGGGGCTTCTTGGTGCCCTTGTCTAAAGCTGAATCAATCAGCTATTAGATAAAAGCACCAAAAAGGCCCCACTGAAGTGCTTGATCTTTACACAGATGTTGGGTGAGCTGGATCCAATACAGACATTGGGCAAGTTGTAGCCTATAGTGGGCTTGCACAGGGCTCGGCACAGGATCATGCTGAGTGTAAAGTAAAGCTCCAGGGTGGTGGTGGTGGTGTTTTAGCATCTGCAAGCAGCCAATATGTCTATAACATTTTGAGGATTCTTTTTTTAAAAACCCTGTAAAATGGGTCAGCTTACAGCTATACCAAAAAAAACCCCCATTAAGATAACCCATACCAGCTTGATCTGTGTGTTATTCTCTCTCACACGAGTGAGTGCCCTCATGCTCTCTCACACTCATGCTCTCACTTTTTCTTTAAAATCTATCACTGAGATAAAATGATATCAGCTCCACTTTGCTCTCAGGCACTTTTGAAGTGATTCCTGTCTAAACTTGGCAATTTACCCAGCATACTTGAAATGTGGTTTTTGCTTCTTAGGTCATTTCTCAGCTACACATCCTTATTTTAGTTAGAGGTCTTTTGCCTCCAAACACACTGGTCTACCTTTTAGGTCTCTGTAGATAAATCACTAATTTTTTCTACTAAAAACTCTTATGACTGAGAAATGCTATTGGGCCATTATATAATTTTTTCAATGTCATTATATAAACGCCCATTAAAGAAGAAATTGCACAATAAAGGTGCGATATTCTCTCTGCCAGAATCTTGACATGTTTCTTGGGAGATGACAGTTTTTTTTATCTAGTCCAGATGGTATCAAAAGTAGTTCTTCCTTATTAGCTAGATGTTTCTTCTTTTCTATCTGGTTATAATTGTTCCAGGTATAATTGCTTTTGTTACAAAGCAGTTTTATGAAAAATGGTAGTACTTTGGGGATTAGTACAATTTATTGTGGAAATACTAGCTATAATGTTCATATAAATAGCAATGATTTCTGGAAATGGCCCTCATGAAACTGCTTAAATACAGCTATCTGAAACTGTATTTAAATTGAACAGCACATTGAGCTGGCTTAACCAAAGCAGCAAGGCTTGCATGATGAGCATGGCGGACCATCTGCTTACGAGGTTAAATAGGTCAGAATGGCTGCATTAATTCCTTTTTTCTGTCATAAGCCCCAGAGCCAAGGTCATCCCTAGGTATCTAGAGGCTGATGCTCAGTGTTGAATTTGCTTTAGAAAACAACTGTTTATTTTCTTCTGTATATCAGTGTCTTTATGAATTAAACAAAAAGGTTAAATCGCCCTTCAAAGTATTCCCCTATTTTAAAGGGAAATTCTTGTTATGTAAATACCTCATTGCATAATAAGAGATCACTTTATTGCATACTGGACATAAATAGCCCCTCTTCTTACAATAAGGCTAAATGTTTTAGAAAATGTGAATAACACATGAAGTACTGTAGTTAATACTAAACTTAGGAGACTGCTCACCTAGGCTGCGTCCCCATGAGGGGGAACGTGCGGTTTGCGGTGCCTCAAAGCCTTTTGAAGTGCCATGAAACATACACAGTACTCATGAATCTATTTGCCACGCCACATATTTGCAGTGTGGCAGCAAAATTAGATACCAAGAACTCCCATGTCTTAAAAAACCACAGCAGAAAAAATCAGGGCAGTGCATGTGGCTGCAGAGTACGCCACCAGAGCCACGCTTCAGCTTCCAGGCAGGCTCCGCACCCCTGGATCGCCACTGCTGCTGCCTCGGGAGGCCCCCAGGATCCCCGGTAAGGCTGCTGGGGCCAGCCCAGATACTGGCGCCCAGCTTCCCCTACCCAATCCAGGGCAACTTGCTGTGTGCCAAAGGGCACGTGCAGAAGCATGCCCAGGGACAATTAGCAGCAGCACAAATATGTGCTGCTGCTAGTTGTCCCTGCAGAAATGCACATTCCTGCTTGTGTGGACACGCCCCTAGTGTCCAAACCAGCAGTCATGTTAACCTGTGGTGAAATTACTCCTGACTTCAATGTGGAGCAGGATGAGCATGTATGATATCCATTTTTTATTAGTTGGGGAGGATCTTACTTCCAATATCCTATTCTTACTTTAAATGTATTTGAGAAATTTGCAGATTATCTTTTTATTTAACAGAAGTATTGAATGGGTAGCTAATCATGCTGTAACATGCTTAATATATTCTGCTTTAGCTGTTCCTGTGGGTAGCGTAGAACAATACACTTTATTAAGGCATTTTTGTCAATACCTTGTGTCAAGCACATGACTACTAGCATTTGTGCATTTATAACCCTAATGACAGTCACATTGGGATTAGATAAGCAGGAGTTACATAAATGCAGCACCTGGCAAAGGCTGTACAAAAGGAGTGTGAATGTGGCAAAATATGAAAGAACAGTAAGCCCCATGCGTACGGGGATAATATTTAATGTATGAGGGAACAAATTCTGTGAGCTGTTTGGAAGTGGGCTGGCTTCTCTAGAGTCTGTGCGGGAAGCCCAGCACCATAAGATCCAGATTCCTGATTGCCATCAGTGCAGTATTAACCAACTTTTTTTTGTTGTTCTCCTAATGTAAACTATTTCAAAAACACTTCAGCAATGTTTATTCCTACTAAACTATCTCTTGGATGGGTATTTTTTTATCTATTAAAAAAATTAAACAGGCCAAATACATGATAGCTTTATTTAGCTACCTTCCTCAGGGAAACTATGGTACAAGTTATCCAACCATTTTAATTGTTGCAAGGATATAAGAAAAAAAAAAAAAAGGTTCTTTCTGCAGTAAGAACTTCTAGAGCTGGGCAAACACAGGGTAATTTTAATTTAAATCTGGTGTGTTGAACTTAATCTAATATTTATGAATAATCTGTGGCCAAGTGTTACTGAAAAAGCAGTGGATGTCTAAAAATGCCTACGCAATCTCTACAAATTGTTTCTATATCATAATTCTAATAAATAATGCACTGTTCCCAATTTGTTATTGCTGGCTGTTCTTCTATTCAGGAAATACGCTGTTTAGTTTGGAACCTAAAGCAATGCCATGCAAGTTAAGTGAATAATTACATACTATGTATCACAAATGGTTAAAGGGAACAACTTGCAAGCAGCCCATCAGCTGAGATTTGTTTGCACAAACTTTGGAAAATGTTACAGATAACATACATCCATGGAAATGGGGAGTAATCTGCAAACAGAAAAAAGACAAATTTGCTATAGATGATTGTATCTGACAAATTACTTAGACCAGAAAACAATGAGCTGAAAGAACAGAATGCCACTTCATATATTGCATGTATTTCTACAATAGAAAGATATAAATGCAAAAATAATCTTCTTTCTCTCCTTGAATGTCTTTAAGTCTTCTTTTTAAAGGAGAAAAAGATGGCTAAGGTGACTTACTTAAATCAATAAAGTACTTTTTTCAAAATATTATTTTTGCGTCAGTGTGTTGTTTCATTTATTTTTAACAAAAACCCTTCAGGTGTTGAGAAAAATTTAACATGAAGTTTCCTATCTTCATTATTAACCTGTTCTGACACAGAGAATATCAGAGGATGCTCCTGTAAAGGCTTCTGCCAAGAGTTACCAAGCAAGCAATGGCACCAACACTATTTCTTCCTGTAGTCCCTCAGTGAGCTGTATGCCTCAACATGTCAAGGAACAACTTCCAAAGTACCAGGTAAATGTTAACACATCTGAAAATTGTATATATAGCATTAATGAGCTAAAAAATAATGCATAATAAATGCATTATCTTTACATTTTATCTAGAGTTTGTTGTATATTTATTAAAAAAAACTTAATACCTGAAAATGCCTTTTTTTCTTTTAAGGATGATGGGGTGAGTGCATCTGTGTGTGATGTTTAGTCTAGGATTTTCTGACTTTCTAAAGTTCACTCTAAACTTTTTACAGTTCTTTCTAAACTTCTTTTTAAATGCATCTCATGTCAAATATTTGTAATGTAAACTCTTACTTGGTTTTAAAAAATTGTAAGTAGCTTATAGTGCTGTATGTTCTAAAAAAAATTAGAACACATTTGTCCATATTTAAGTTTGTGGCCTTCATAATGTGAATCAAGTCTTTCATAACTTCTGCAGGAGCTGTTGCACTCAGCTGGTTCTGTTAAAGATTGTAAAAGAGACCATGTCAGTATAAATTGAGTCCATTTTTAACAGATGGCTAATTGTTAAAATGTGATTACCAATTTCTACATTTACATATTTCTGTCTTATGACCTCTGCAACCTGAAAAAAATGAAGGGTGGCTCTTGCAAAGATTTAGACCCTCAGCAAGTCCCATTTAGGCTCGGATCCAGCGCTACTTATGGTGGAATATGCAGAAAAAATGGTGAAAGCCTATAAAAGTACAAGGCCTGAACATTTTTTTTTAAATGCCTTTTAATTCAAAGTGTTTGTGTGTGTGTGTGTTTGTACTGATGAGGTCCAATTGTATAATCTTGTGGTTCTGGTAATTTTAGCTGCTACACACGTGCTGCCCCACTTTTTTTTTTTCTGTGTGGGATTTTTTTACACTGGGATCTCCTGGGGTCAACACCCTCCCCCCCCCCTTGCTGCAAGGTAAGAGCATGGGGAATACCTGAAGTTGTGGTGTGTGGTGCCACAGATAGGTCTGCAGCACCACATACCACACAGCCACTCTCACCTGGACATGACCTAAGAGTAAAAAACTTGTTTGTGCACCTCCTGTGTGGCTCTGTAAAATTTCATATGAGAATGTCCTTAAACTGAGCAAATCAAGACTTTATGCAGTTTAGTTTTTTTTTGACTTCCCATTGCAAAGTAAGTTACTGTCTCATGAGTATTGAAAATGTTGTGCTTGTACTGGGTGCATCTACACATACACTTTACTGTATTAGTAGACTAATTAGCTCCTCAGTAAAGCATCACCATCTACATGTGTGCTGGTATTAGGGCATAGTAAATTTAATTAACTCTGCCATAAAAGAATACTTTCAGGAAGAGTACTGTCTTATGGTGGAGTATTTGTGTGCACTGAAATGAACATGTAGATGGTGATAGGGGCTGGTTGGGACACAAAGGTGCAGAGGTGGGGAGGGGGCTGCCTGCCACCTAACCCCACGCTTCAGCACCCTTGTGTCCCAGCCAGCCCTGATGCTGCCACCCAGAGCCTGGGCCT